AACAGAAGCCGAGTCGAAACCTCTTTTGAGAACGGTGGTGACCCTCTCAGGCGACGGTCACATCGATTGCCAACCATGGTCGATCCGCCCTGCAGGAGCTGAACGCAGCAGGGTCCATCAAGTGAATATTGCACTGTTGGCCTTTCGGGTCAATGACCTTGAGCCGACCGAACCTGTCGAACCAGACATTTCCCCAAAATGGTCACGCTACTGCTGCGAACCCCCGGATTGTGATTCAGAGGGCGCTTCATTTGAAGATGATCAAATCAATGCTATGGAAATCTTGTATGAAGAGACTGATTGGACAAATCCCCTGGTTACGGAACCGATTCCCCCAGAATCGTCAATTCGACAAATCCGTACTCTCACTGGGGAATTGAGTAGATCTAGGATTAAGGATGATAAGAAAGGTGTGAAGCGTGATCTTGTTGAATGGTTGGGTTCCCAAGCATATAGATTGGACAAAAGCAGTATCTCTTGTTGAAATGTTTTGTGGAAAAGGAAACCTCAGCGATGTTCACGCCAGAGCGACAGGCACGGAATGCATCAAACTTGGCCTAGAACATGGTCAGGACTTCGAACGTGTGCGGGATCGAAGACTCATGCTTTTGCTTCTAGAGTATGTAAAACCCAAAGACCTCTGGATAGCATTTCCATGTAAAGCATGGGGTCCATGGAGCCGCTTCAACATGAGCCGTGGTCCTGAAGCCAAGCAATCCGTGATGTCTGCGCGCCAGATCGGTCGGAAGCACCTTTTTGCTGCAAGTGAAGCATGGCATTTCCAGGTTTCCATCGTCGGACATGATGCCCACATGGAAAAACCACTGACCAGTGACGCATGGAAACTCTTGAAATTGGGTCAAGTATATGACTTGCGAGTGGATCAATGTGCATTAGGACTCAGGTGCCCCAAGACAAATCTGCCTGTCTTAAAACCCACCCGTCTGGTGACCAGTTCCAATGCACTTGCTCAGGCACTTCGTAACTGTCGATGTGACCATAAGCACGAGCATGCACACTTGGTTGGGAAGTTCCGTGGACGAAACCTGACATCATACGCCGAAAGCTATCCTGCTAAGTTTTGCCGAGCCGTGTCAAAAGCACTGATCACCTGCGCCGAAGAAATTCATGCTGGCGAGCTTGATGACATCTCCGTTAACTCGGAGGATAACAGAAGAAGCCGACCAGGATATAGAGGGTGATCAGGATGCTGCCATCGACATGCCAGGACATGGACAAGATGCCACCGACATGCCAAGACATGGACATGTAGCTGTAAGCTCAAGGGCCAAAGCAATGATTCGTAAGTTGCACGTTAACACAGGGCGTGCATCAAATGAGCAAACGATGAGACTAGCTGTTCGATGTCAATCCTCAAACGAGATCAAACAGGCCATCAAACAGTTCAACTGTCCAATTTGCCAGGAGTTGAAAACACCCCCAAGCTACCGTAAGACACGAATCCCGGGCCCGGACCATCCCAATGAAATTGTAGGGATAGATTTCGCGCAGGTAGAACTCAAATCCATGCAGCCTAATGGTCAAATTAAGGAAGTTAAATACAGAGTCCTGACATGTGTAGACATGGCCACTGATTTTGCACAGCAATATGTCATGAAGCCAGGCGATCGACTCTCACAAGCCTTCCATGAGGTGTGGTCCAGACCATACGGTTGTCCCAAAACCATATACATGGGTCCCACAAATCAGCACTTGTCAAAAGAGTTCCAGGCATATCTTGTTGAAAACGACATCCAGCTCTTACTAGCAGCTGCAGAAAGTCATTGGCAACTTGGAAGAGTCGAGATTGCAAATCGCATCCTTCGTGGCATGGCCCAGCGCTGTTGGCAAGCGACCTCACGACCTGCAGAGGAAGTCATTGAAATCTGCGCAAGCATTTGGAATGAACATCTCCGTAGGAACGGTTGTTCACCGAGTCAATGGTTCTTAGGTGTCAATCCCCGTCACGCAGGTATGCTGGATCAAATCGAAGACCAAGAAAATCCTGCAATCCAGTCACAAGTGCTTGCAATGCCTTCTTTTGCAGAGAAGTTGCACCTTCGCGAGACTGCCGCTCGAGCCTTTAGAGAAGAGCACGCTAAGGATGCATGGCGAAGGGCAATTGCGCATCGAAACCGTCCCATGAGGGGTCCATATGTAGTTGGGCAACTTGCTTATATGTTTCGAGCGCGTGGTCGCGGACAGCTGTCAACAAGACATGGTATGCGCTTAGGTCCACGTAAGGTCATCGGAACAGAGAGCTCACATAACAGCAATCTTCCTCGAGTCGTTTGGGTATCCTACAATGGCTGCTTGCATAAATGTAGCCCAGAGGGTCTGAGACCTGTCTCGGAGGATGAAGCTGAGTTCCGTCGTCTAGCTAAAGATCTTACAGAAGGAAAGCTCGCGCCAGATCTTGAACGCGCAGAGCATGACTTGTCTAATCGTTGTGGTTTATACCATGATTTGACACAGGATATCCCTAAGGATGATGACATCCCTAAGGATGTCGAAGATGAACCTGATGATGATGAAACATGGAAACGAAAACAGGACTTCGATTCGGAGGGCGTTGCACCAAAGCGCATTCGCTTAAGATACTATAGGTCACATGAGTACTGGGATAATCGCAGTAAAGGCATGCCCCCACTCAAGATGCTGCAAGAAGGCCCAACGCCTCGCATGGCAAGTCTTCACCATGATCCACCTGAACCACAACATGAAGATGAACCCCCACTGAAAAGAGCAGCTCGAGAAACACTGGATTCCATTCCAGAAGAAGACTACACGCCGTCAGTTGCTCCACCAGGTGAATCACCAGATGTGGTGCCTGCTCCAGACATAGAAGTAGTTCCCGACTCCGTTAGTGAACACGCTAATGATCCAGAAGCCTGATCCACTAAAGTGGAACCCACTGAAGCTCCTATGGATGTAGAGGAACGACTTCAACGTGCTGTCGAGCACCCTGTCCCAGAAAACGAAAATCTTCTTGTCACCGCCAGGAAGCAGCGTGAGGAAGTGTTTGAGCTGAGCTTTGATATATACCCTGAAGATATAAGAGATAGTCCATTTTTCCTCTGGGGTATCTTAGATGAGTGTTATGAAGTAAACACTGCCCAAGCCAAAAAGCGTAAGGTCGAGGTATCATTCAGAAAGCTTAATGATCATGATAGGAAACTCTTTGAGGCCGCAATGCAAAAGAATGGCAATCATGGATAGATAACAAGGTTACATCCATATGCAGTTCACGTGGCATCTCTAGAGATCGTATCATTAGAGCTAGATGGGTACTTGTTTGGAAAAAGAGCAGTGATCCGGATGATCGTCCGAAGACCCCCAAGGCCCGTTTGGTGTTGGTTGGTTGGGAAGACCCTGAACTGGGACAAATCGCGACCGACAGTCCCACACTCCGGAAAGAAACAAAACGCACGACGCTGTCCATTTGCGCCTCCAAAAAATGGAAAATTTGGGGCGCAGACATAAAGACTGCCTTCCTGAGTGGTGATGCTTCTCAGCGTGGCATTTACTTTCGTCCCCCTGAGCAGATCCGCAAGTGGATGAATCTTGGGTCAGAAGACCTATTCCGATTAGAGAAAGCCGCATACGGATCAGCAGAAGCACCACGAGCATGGTTCCTTCGTTTGTCTAGAGAACTAGCTGGTGTAGGACTGACTGTAAGCCAGCTGGATCCCTGCCTTTACGCTCTTAGACTGCAAGGTGAACTTTGTGGTATATGCGCTATTCACGTGGATGACCTGTTAGGTGGTGGAACCCCCGCAATGGATGAAGTGTTGAACAAGCTTAGAACCAAACTGCCGTCTGGAGATTATCGAACATTCACCATCAGGTACACAGGCTTCGAGATAAGACAAAATACAATGACATAGAGATTGGTCAAGAAAGCTATATAGATGCACTTGAACCTGTTGCCACAAAGCCTCTTGGAATTGCATCAACCCCGTTGAAGAATCCGACAATCTTGAGAGCGTGCGCTGGACAACTCGCATGGGTGTCTAACGCAACCCGACCTGATCAAGCCTTTCTGTCATCATACCTCCAAGGTGTTCAAGATCATGGACTTGTTTCGCATGTCAATCTATACAATAAGGCCTTGAGAGAGCTTAAGGAAGAACGCGTATGCCTTAAATTGCCCAGTCATGTTGATATCAAAGATTGGAGACTTTTGCGCATAGCCGACGCAGGATGGGGAACCCGCGATAACGGAGATTCTCAGGGTGGATATCTTTTGTGTTTAATTACACCACACATCCTCGAGCGTAAGCCAGCCTGCACATGGCTCCTTGACTGGAGTTCCAAAAAGTTGAGGCAAAAGGTCCGCAGTTCGGTTGCTGCCGAAACGCTCTCAGGACAAAACGGATTGGATGCCATCGAAACAATGCAAGCCTTGTTAGCGGAAACCCTGGATGGTATATCCCCAAGAGTTTTTCGAAATAGCAATCCTGTGAATACATCAGCATTAGTGACTGACTCAAATGGATTCTACGACACTGTAACTAGAAGCTGTTGTTCATCAGCAATCTCTGTCGAAAGACGCCTTCAAATCGACTACTCTATTGCCAAAGAAACACTTGAGAACCAGAACATTGTAGTGCATTGGGCAAACAATCTTGGCATGGCAGCGGATTGCCTCACAAAACTGAAAGGAGGCTCAAAACCATTGTTTGACCTTCTTGAAAATCTAGTGTATCAAATAAAAGCCAGTAAGGAATCCGGCCGGAAAGAGAAGCAAAGCCAAGGGTCCAGTGATGTTGTCACTGGAGTGATTGCATCTCATGCGTGAGTGTTTATTTGTAGTCGAAGCCATAAACATGACTTGTTAAGCAAGCCTTAGGTTTCATGGCAGTGAGCAGTGCGTGTGAACCACTCACATTTGCTGCTGAAGAATTCATTGTTTTATTTTTCTCCGCAATTTTGACTAGCAAGTCAAGCCTGCGACTTGAGCAAAGCGTGTGAAAGCTCTTGTGCTTTTGTCAGCCACCATGAGCCGCAATGCCAAGTGTGCAAAATCCCCAGCAATGGCTGATGCATATGAGCCACTGAATGGCTCTGAGATCATGGAGCTCAGGAAGCACTTGCTCCCATGTCGTGTGCACGTGGCCAGCTTGCTTTCAGAGCTAGACCCCCATGGACTTTTGCCGACCGGATCTATGTCCGATGCCTCGAAGCGTGGCCGTGACCTTGATTGGGATGTGATCGAGGAGTTGGTTGAAGAAGGAATCCCAAGGGCTGTGGCCGAGGCTGGTCACATTGACCATGGAGAAGTGAAGAAGTTGCCGAGCGATGTCGCCTCCTTTGAACAGCGGGGAAAGACCAAAGTCACCATGAAGAAGTATGCCGACAATGGCTACACCTTCAAGAGCATCGTGAAGGCCAGCTACACGGATTCTGAAGTGACCCAGTACTTGAGCTGGATCCTCAAGACCTATGCTGGAAAGTCGATTAGCTCGCAAGGTCCTGACTTGGCCGCCTACTTGGAGTACATGGATCGGTGCCCGAAAGTGTTTGCCAAGCCCTAAAGCTGCAACGGCACCGAACGCCGAATGAGGGCGTGTGAAAGTGGAAGGGTGACCGGACGATCGTGCACCTTGCCAGGTCGATGACTATGAATTCCGCTTCCCGCTTCCGTTGGCTGTGCCTCTACGAGGGGCCCCTTGGTAGCCATGACACTCGCTGCCCTCGCGATGGGATGAGAAAAGAGTGCGCCTAGTGAAGGGCGATTGTGGTGGAATCTCATTTCCACGTATATTCCAGATACTCCTCTCTTGCCTTGCCGTCGCTACCATTTCTTCACATATATACACATAAAATAATTTGACAAAATATGACTATGTTTAAGTATTTGTTTAATGCATCAGTTTATCTACTTTCTATATATATATATATTTGATCTAAATACTACTTCCGATGCCTTTGAGTGAAATTTGCATCGCATTCCCCTGCCTCCAAGTCATCCCTCCGGCTCTGCTCAATGCCCTTGTGAGCATTGATAGATGCATACCTGTCCATAACGCTGCAAAACAACAACCTCGCTAAAAGCAACGAGAATCTGCGCTTTCCGTAAAGTGTTCTGTGCATCTAGTCGCTGGGACGAAATGCACGCTGACCGGACACTGTAGCATTTCGTAAAACATGGTGGGAACAATGAAGGAGCAAAGTCAAAGAAGGTATACCATCCTTGTTCTGAATGCGTGTCAAAGGCCCTGCTGAGTTTGCATCTCCCTATGCCAAAAATAGTCCTTCGTCTTCGTGTGCTTCATGCGTGCTTCTGCACACTGTCGGACTTTGCCATGACTCTGTCTAATGACGATGTCCAGGATAGTGGTGGGTGAAGAAATACGACATTGCGTTTTCTACTTCAAAGTGCGTCAGGAATATAGAAACATGTAGAGAGATTTATGTGGTACTAGTCCTAGTAGTGAAAGTGTTGTGGTAGAAGAAGGAGTCTGTTCGGGTGCGCATTGTACAATTTAGAAAGCCCAGAAGCGAAGAGCAGTAGTCCTCTCAAAGGTGGTGGATCCATTTGCGGCAGAACCGTGTCTTCAAGAATGTGATACAGGACTGAAAGAATGTGTTTAAAAAACTTGTTTAAAGGTCCGGTTTAAGTCTAAGTCTAAAGAACAAAAGAGATATGGAGAAAAGTGGAGTGAAAGGATGACGAGCCTTATCCAAATTTGGAAACATCTTGAATATGGCAGCCCTAGCTACGACGGCGGAGGTGCCCCTTCTTCCCTCCTTTCCTCTTCATCCCTCTTCGTCTTCCCTCCTCCTTCCTTCCCTTGGCCATTGAAATCGGGGAGGCGGAAACTAGTAGCTTCTTGTTCCTAGTAGCAAGAATGCTCCTAGTAGTAAGGCCAGGAGCCCCTAGTAGCTTCTTATTCCTAGAGAAGTTCTGCCTGTTTCCGCATTGAGGGATTTTCTTTCTATCTGTCTTTCCCGTTGTGCCAATTGCCCCTCTCCAGCGGGTCCTTGCATCTGTGTGTAACATTCGGGTCACCAAGCCCACGGATTCGGACACGTTCGGGACGCAACGGGTTCGAAGGAACAACACCACACCGCCCCACCCGGCAGAGACCCTTTAGTTTCTGAATCGAGCCTTCGGCCTTCGGCCTAGTTTCTGAATCCCTAGTAGAGTCCTTGTTAGCAGTGATGCCAGGAGCCCCTAGTAGCGTCCTTGCTCCTAGTCGTAATGCCAGGAGCCCCTAGTAGCTTCTTTTCCTAGTTTCTGAGCTGGAATATACCCAAGTTTCTGAATCGTCTGTTCATAACATCCCAAGGTACATGTGTGTAGCACAAAAAGTGCCAGCAAAGCTTTCGAACCAAGCTCGTTCACTCACACCCACGTACTTTTGTGAACTTGTCTTTCTGTGCTGCTGCTCCTGCTGCTCCTGCTGCTCCTGCTGCTACTGCTCCTGCTGCTACTGCTCCTGCTCCTCCTCCTCCTCCTCCTCATCATCATCATCATCCGCATCCTCATCATCATAATCATCATAATCATCATCATCGTACTACTGCTGCTACTCCTGCTACTCTGCCTTCTTTCTTTCCCTTGCCTCTTCCTTTTCTCCTTTCTCTTTGTGTTTTCACCTTTGGAGTTTCCTTCCTCTTTCCTTTCTCGTTGTCTCTCATGCTCGATAGCAACGGCTCATCCCAGCCTAGCGGTGCCAGTCAGGCTCAGCTGTGTTCGCAGTTGAACGTGTTTCTGGTCAAAGTACCTGCGAGTTTCAGAGAAATGAAAAAGAACCTACTAGCAACGGCCTCCACCCTAATAGCGATGGCCTCCAACCTACTAGCGATGGCCTCCTTGGCCTCCAACCTACTAGCGAATCAAAAGTACCTGTCGAATGACAAGGGTTTTCGCAGGCTGGAAAAGGGCGCCTCTTGCTAAGACCGAAATCGATCAGGTACAAGTGGTGAACCTAAAGGAACGACAACAATTTCAATCGATGCCCTAACTACTAGTGGCTTCTAGCTACTACTAGTAAGGCACTTGTTCCTAGTAGCGATGGCCTTGTTACTAGTAGCTCCTTGCTAATAAAGAAAAAAACGATCCTTCTCAGAAGCAGACCCTGCTCTTGATGCCGAACATGAAATTTTCTGGTTTGATATCTCTGTGAACAATTCCCTGGCAGCACAGCGGGGACAATGCAAAGGACACATGAGCGACGCAAAGCAGGTAATCGCTTATGCAATCAGTGGCTCTAAGCAAATCACGGCTGCGCCTTGGAATGAAGGTATTCTATGCGCCTGAGCACTTGCTCCGCAATGAGCACCGCTGTCCTCAGTGATTTAGTCGGACACATGAAATTGCTAGTCAGATAGTCGGAATGCTTTAGCTGTTGGATTAAACAGGACAGGCAAGAAGCCTGCACTTATTGAAATCAAGACTGGACCATGGAAGAACCTTAAAGAGTTGAATGCACCAAGCAGACTTCCGAGGGTTGGACTGTGCATTGAATCGCGGGGGCTGTCCACCTTGGGACCCCAGTCCCTGCAGCCGGTCCTCAAAAACTGTCAATGTCAAGGATGAAAACATGCACATGTGAGGATGAAAATATGTAGCGCATCGGTGCAATATCGAAAACACATGGGAAAAGAATGGGAGTTAATTTAATAAGGACTAATGAGGCCCCCTTTCCTCAGTGTGCAATCGCGGCACCAACTACATCATCAATGGAAATCCGTTCATTGGGATCTCAACCCACGAATACATGATGAAAAGAAAAAGTCACAAACAAATTATATTCAATTCTGTCGTTCTGTTGGTTGAGAATATTCATTAAAGGGGGCATGTTCTCTCTCCCATCGACTCACGATCAGGTCGACAACTTGAAGGTTTTCTGCGCTTCAAATCAGCAGCGGTTGGCGACAAGCAACTGACTCAAAACAACGCTGCAAAGAGAATGTCCCATGTTCCTGGGCTATGCTTAGCACCTGAAAAAAACGCCTGGCAAAGCAAGTGCACCTTTGGGAAGGTTTTCCCCCAACCTGTTGTTTGTCAACTCCAGCAACACCAGAGCCACAATGATATCTTATTTGCAAGAAGCAAGTCTTCCAAGGATGATAGCACCGAATGAACATGGCGTTGCAATCACGCCTTCCACCTCCAATGGCACTCGCTGATGGAAGGCCGGTCAACTCAAAAATTGAACTGGAATGAAGCTACTAGGAACAAGAAGCTACTAGGGGCTCCTGGCATCGCTACTAGGAGCAAGACGCTACTAGGGGCTCCTGGCCGTACTACTAGGAACAAGAAGCTATTAGGGGCTTATTCTAAGACATAACCATCGCCAAGACGCCAACTCAAAGTATTGCCGAAAACAAAGGATAGGTTGGAGGCCATCGCTATTAGTGAAAAAGTAAAAAATAAATACTTAAAAAAAAGAGCGCGGCGGGGCAGGTTGAAGTTCCGTGGACAAGGTTTGTTTGCACGCTGCTGGATATTGAGATCCAAGGTCATGGTCCGACATTCTGGCAACTGCCTCACGGCCACATTGGGTGATCTCTTGTGGCCGAACAACCGGAGGGTGCGTCAGCCTGCGGTTTGTTTGTTGTCTTCAGTTGCTGAAAGGGCTGTAGCGGGGAGGCCCGCTTGGTGGCTTCATCTTTGCTGACCGCTTTTGCAACAGAGTCAGCAGCTGGATATCGTGCAAAGGTTGTTGAACGGTCCGATGGTGTATGTTCTAGAAGGCAGGCCCGACACGGGCGCTGGGCAAGAAAAAAGCCCCTAGTAGCATCCTTGCTCCTAGTAGTACGGCCAGGAGCCCCTAGTAGCGTCATCTTGTTCCTAGGTGTCCCCACCACTCGCAGTGCGTCCACCCAAGCCCAATGAACCAATCAAGCTCAAGGCGACGTTCCAACTGCTGCGCCACTATGAGAGAGTAATGTATGGCCAAAAGCCCCGAGGACGCAAAAACAATGATTCTGCCTCCCAAAGAGCTTGGCTTGCAAAATAGGCTTGCGACACCTTTTGAAGTGTGGGTGTGCGGACCATGATCACCTAACCGATCTGGGAATCATATAGACCCTACCCTCAACTCAGAGACAAGCTGAGGGTAAGGCGCCTCCGAAATGTTCGAACAGTCTGTAGCTTCTTCTGTCTGCTAGTACAAGTAGACTTGGGAACAACACATGGGCACAGAATGTCCTATATTTGCATGTGCAGTCTTGTTTGCCCACATGATCAAAAAAAGAAACTGATGAAGGCATGTCCTCCAGAGACTTCCCCAGCATCTCCATAACCAGGCACATGAAGCGTTGCTGGCACGAGAAGCTTTGAAACTCAATTTGCATTGAAGAGTTTCATGTGTCCAGTGTCCCAATTGTCCCAATGTCCCATGTTTCTTTCCAGTGAACCGACACAAAGGAAGAAAGAAAAACTAAGTTTCAGAAACAAAAAAAGTACGGTACACTAAATTCAATTAAATTCTAATTTATATATTGTTTCTACTAGCTTCTTGTTCCTAGTAGTAAGGCCCTTGCTCCTAGTAGCGATGCCCTTTGCTCCTAGTAGCGAACATTGCTCCTAGTAGGTCTAAAGGTAACTTCAAATAGACTCCCGAGCGTCAACTCTTTCATACCTAGTACCATTTATACGTACAAATTCGGCTTGCCCAAATAGACCAAAGTTGACATAGTTATTCTTCTCAGAAAAGAACGCACTAACAAGAAGCTAGCTCCTGGCATTCTACTAGTAACAAGAAGCTACTA